GAGCCTTTAGATATTAATTGACGATGCTCTGGGATGCTCCCCAGCTGCAGCACTTCTGTGTGTAGGAGTTGTCGATTTCGTTAATTTTTTGAATATTTGTTTAAAAGTAATTTTAGTCGGCTTCAAAATGAGCAGTTTCCTGGGCATTTTAGTGCGTTGTGCAAGCGAGTTGCTGATGGCTTTCCACAAGCATGTGATGCTGGACGATTGGCAGGATTCGTGCATGCGAGCCTCCCTGCAGTTTGCTATTGTTGTCTCATACAACTGGCTCAATGTGCATCAGCTTGTCCAAGAAGGTTCCTCAGCCCTTGTTTCACAAATTTCTACATGTTTGTCGCGTGCATCTGAGTTAAAGATCGCCGCTTCATTATTTGCTATGAAATACGGTGATACGCAGAAATGCCTGGAGTAACAGTACGTTGCAAGCATCAGTTGTCTGCCAGCAGTGCTCTCGTTGACTCTCCCTTTCGCGAATTGTTTTAAAAGCGAGCTAAGCGTGATTTTAGCTTTTTGGTATGCATCAATCACAAATTTATTACTTCAAAGTACAGTCAGCGTAGAGAGTTTGTTTTTCTCCCTGTGAACCAGAACTGAAGCCGAAGCCTAACAACGACAGTGTCAATTCAGCAAATCCACTAGCATTTAGTTTCAGTGTGCATAGCACAGTACACCGTTGGAGACCCGTAGCACTTACATGTAGAGGAAGGCACAAAGGAGCAAGCAATAGACCAAAAAAAAATAAAGCAAGCAATAGACCAAAATTTTTAGTAGTAGTAGTAGTAGTAGTAGTAGTAGTAGTAGTAGTAGTAGTAGTAGTAGTAGTAGTAGTAGTAGTAACAGTAATAATAATAGCAATAATAATAATGATAATAATAATAGTAATAATAACGATGATAATAATAACAATAATAGTAATAACAATAATAATAATGACAATAATAACAACAGTAATAATAACAACAGTAACAATAACAATGATAATAGCAATAATAATAATAACAACAACAATAATAATAATAACAAAGTATGGATGACAGCATTTATTACATGTATCTTAACTAGTCATTGTGTAATTTACGGTACGGCTGTTAAAGAACTGTGATTAGTTTCTTCCCGCCGCATCCAGTATGCTAACGGCTGTTCCGATAATCACTTTTTGCAAAAGTGCTTTTATATTTCTTAATTTTGTGCCTTTTTTCAGTATTGGGCGGGTTTGCGATCAAGGAAAATGAGTTACTCGAAAGAGCAGTCAATGGATTAGCATTTCAATTTATACGAAAATGTGTTATTCCAGTTCCAAAATTCCGCGAAAATGTTATGGCATTTTCGGTTGTTGATACACTAATCAAAAATTTCCTTGCTCATTTCACTAATCAAGTGAGCACTTTTTCATCCGTTGCTTGAAGTATTACTTATTCGGTCTAATTGGATGAGAATAATTAATGAACGCGCAAGAATCGCGCTTTTCTGTTTGTTGAGATTGCTGTTTCAGGTAATGCTGCTGCAG